CCTTGAGTTGGCGGCGAAGCTCATCAAGCTCGCCTGGAGACATCCGATAGATCCTACCCCTTGGAATACTAGACCCTGGGATAATCTCTATCGCGTGGACGACCTCCCTCTCAACAACCCCTGTCGGCTCTTCACATAGATCAGGGTACTTAGCAACGACTCCCTCTATCTCTGGCGGCATTTTCACCGGCTCACCTGCAGCAGAGACAGACTAAGTACATACCCTCCTCCTGATTTTGCTTATAATAATTATAGAATGTGGCCTCACACATGCACCCATAGGACTCAATCAGACTACTAGCTTTGAACTTTTGTAATCTGGCGGTCCCTCCACCTGGCAACGTGTATTTGACCACTTTTTGGTCCCAGTCAAACTGGGGCTGTGCTAYAGAGAGGTAGTACAWACCTAGTAACATGTCCATTGGGAGCTCGTCACTGACCAGGAACGAGACACGATGTCTCAAGTCCCCTCCCGCGTACGGGAAAACACACTCTACATCATGGAGGTAGTCATTAACTACCATACGCTGTTTGTTGGCACAGGTCGACTCAGGCGCTGCACTTGCCCCTGTAAGCGCAGCCTCTCAACGCACGCGCGGCTCATAAAGTTTCTAGTCGAGCAAGTGTCGTAATAGGCCCCGGCCTTGCGGCCTCCTATGACTACCTCGCTGACAAACATTTCACTCTTTGGGGCTTTAACTAACGCCGTCCAAGAAGCTAGTGGATCTGATCTAGACCACTCATGCTCTAGCTCCTCTAAGGATTCAAACACATTCATCAAACAGAGGGTCAACGAGTCTGAATGTGTTTGCGGGACGACTGAAGAGTCTGTAGTTTGGGCCATCTCTCGCGAAGGTGAGGGTGAATCTACCATCGCGACCATAGTAGGAACAGCTACTATCCCTACTGGCCCGACGTGTTTCCCGGAGCACTGCTTGAAGAACTAGCAACGTTGCTACCAACAGTTTGAGAGGATCTTATTGTCGACCCCATAATGGGCGGGATCTTCTCGATGACCTTCCTATTGCGGCACTTGTACATGCTATGGCCATATTGGCCACACTTGATACAAGCTTGCCGTGCCCACCGATCTCTCCACACGTCCTCAGCTAGACCCGCTTTCTCCCATGGAGGAGCATTGGGGTCTGTTTGACTCTTCGACCGGRATCCCCTAGGGCGTCTACCGGTCCYTTTACCTTTTTGTTGGGTTACRGCGGCGACTACTCCACCCTCTGAAGTATCGTCGCCTGCCTCTGCACCTACTCCCTCCTGGAAGTTGCCGTCCAACTCGATGGTTGATCCATCGTTGTCGACAAACATRATGCGACCTTTCGCCTTCCAATTGGGAGGCAGTGTCTTCTTTTTCCCTTCCGTAGTGGGTGCCTGTCCATGCCCTATCTTTGCTTCTAGGTCTAGGGCCACCTTGCTGAACGAACGAATGTTGTGCATATTAATGTTGGCCTCTTTCGCCAACTGGTCCTCAGGTACGAAGTTAGCAGGACCTGGAGGTCATAGCGTACCCCTGGAACACAAATCAAACGCTCTACAGCATCGGTGGCATCCCTTACTTACTTAAACTGTCGCGTGTGCAGTGTCAGAATCGCGTCAGTGGCCTTTTGAGCCTCCTGCGGATCATGCCACCTCTCTTCCACCATTTTAAGGAAGTCCTCCAATTTTTGAGAGGCTGCCCAAGAGCGGAAATCATGACCGTACCCCTGGAGTTGCACTAACCCACTCAACCATCTCGCTGCACTACCCTCCAGGTAGGAAGCAGCCACAAGCACTTCTTCGTGTGGCAAGGTGAGTTCACACTTGACGTAGACTGGCACCGCCCTCAACCAAGTGTCGAGGTCTTCGCCTCTCTCGTCTCCTGTAAAAGGTTTGGGAGCGGCGATGGCCGTCTTTGGAACCCACTGACTTTGTCCCGGTCCCTGCACCAACCCAGGCTGTGGACCCGGCGATACAGGTTGTTGTGCTAGCTGCTGGGGCTGTGTGCCCTGAGGTTGCACTAACTGCGAAACAGCAGGCTGCGTGGTGGCTGCAACCTGTGACGGACTTGGAGTAAACACTGTCTGAATAGAAACCTGCAAACTACTCCCTGTTGTTACCCTCCTGACAGAGGCATGCCCAGGGAAACGATAGCAACCGATGAAGGGGCTACATATGGGGATACCCCAGTCACCGGTGGAACAGAAAGAGGACGATATGGCACTGACCAGGCACCAGGCCCTGCTGGTGATGGTGCTGCCTCAGCACGCCCTGCCAACACGGCTAGGCTTTGTTGAATGTCCTGAAGGAGAGTAGTTTGATGCTCCTGCATCTCAATTACGCCTAGCAGGGCCCTCCTAACTACCTTCACATCCTCATCCATATGCGTCAGGTCCATCGTCTCTAACTCCTCTATGTTTGTCCCTCTCTGTTGCATCCTGGCTCTTCTTCTAATCATCATCTCTTTCTCCCTTTTTATCTTTCCTAATGCCTGCTGTAGCTGTGCCTCTTGCAGGGCTGCCTGATGGATGGCGACATCCTCTGGGGACAACACCGCGGGCTGGCTTGCCATTAAGCCAGTGGACTGACTCACGGTCTGCACGACCGGGGACCCAGCGGTACCTGAATTTCCGGCTTGGGAAGTCTGCTGCGCAGACGTGCTCATGGCTATGGTAGCCATGGCTGCTATAGCACTGGCCTCTCTAGCAAATGCCCTGCTGGCCTCGGCTGCTCTAGCTCTCCTTTCCCTTCGTTGGTGGAACAAATCCCTATCACCCTCCAGTCCTAAAGACACATGGGATACCGGTCCTCTAGCCGATCGTAAAGTCCTGCGGTCGTCCTCTCTGGTGTCCTCCACGTCGCTCATAGGCTACAGCACTGTGCACTGTCCACACTAGATCATTCTAGATGCCTACCGCAGCTTAGTACACAGACCAACTAATTAGTGGTGGCTATCAGAACAGATCTCATTTGGGGTCAACAGGTAAGTGAGGTTCCTATTGTCAATACTATTTTTAGCAAGATTAGTTCCCAAACAGAGAAAACAACAGGAATAAATAATATTTTAAACTAATGCTGTCTGTCAGATGTCACATGGCTGTCCATCTAACTAATCAATAATAAAAATAATGTTGACTGACCGGGTCTGTTAACAGTTTGGATTTTAACCCGAACTTATCATCTAAAATCTACCCCTCCCTTCGTTTCTCCCAATGTCACGGTGTCACGTTTCTTTGCATCAGAAGCCAAGCGTGCCTCAAAGGTGTGCAATCCGGTCCCACCCCTGTGCCCCGGGTTATCGTCGAGCAAGGCAGCCACAGCACTCTTATTTACCCTCGTACGCCGACGAGCCTTCCACTCGGATGACCTGGCTGATCAAGAGGCAATTTAACGTCCGCCCCCAAGTGACATCAGGAATTATTTTACGTCGCAGCAGGACGACGATCACAGCCAGATCATAGCCGAGTCCCCAGCCAGAAATGTTTATAGACGGTCTGGTAAGCGTCTGTAGAGGCTGCCACACTCGAGTTAACCCCTATCATGCGCAAGCAGCAGAACCAAYGACTTGCAGCGAAGCATGCGTGTACTACACCCAGTGGGTTGGCATGGTGACCGTGACCCAGTGCTTCGTCCAGGGCCCTTCAAGAAGCTCCGCCCTTCTTCCCCCAGAGGCTCCACGTGAACAATCATGACTCTCAAGGTTGAGCGCACACGACACCTCACGATGAGAGGACTCTCAAGACAGAACTCACAACCTCACGGTAAGAAGTGATGAAGAGGGTAGATAAGGTTAAGAGCAACGTACCTCGTTCATGCTGCCCCCAACCACAGAGATAATCTCACCAGATGACCTGAAGATGATTGCGATGACCAGTCACAGCATCGGCACAACCTGCGTTTCGCCGTTCCACCTCAGCCTCAATCACCCAACAGATAGTTCTCATGACACTGCGAACACCCAATATTCACACCTTAGCCTTCCAGGCGATGCCCCTCACCACCTGGGTCGCCTTCACACTCGTCTCCACCCTTCTCACTACACATCACTTACGGCCAAACTCTCCCAGCAGACCGCATGTATGTACCGTATAAGGCAGAAGACAAGCGCCAGATGAGCGCAATCGTACCACARCTCCGATACCAAATTGCAAGGAAGATGAGCATTAGCGAACTTTGGCAATCAAAC